CCCGTCTGCCGGGCGGCTGAGTGCCCGCGTCCCGCGGCGGTGAGTACGGGAGGATGATAGATAGCTGAGTGTCCGTGTCTCCGTGTCCTGCAGCGGTGCTGGCGGAGGTGATTAAGGCGTTCGGGGCGCCCGAAAACGCGCAGCGCATGGAGGAGGCTCGGGACAACGCCTGCAACGACATGGGCAAGATGCTGCAGTTCCTGCTGCCTGTGGCCACCCAGATCCAGCAGGACGTGATCAAGGCCTACGGCTTCAGCAGCGATGGCGAAGGTGGGTTGTGCCCCCGCCGGGCGGGGAGCTCTGGGCCCGCCGGGGCAGCGAGGGCCCCCTGCCCACCCTCTCTCCTTGCAGGGGTCCTGAAGTTCGCCCGCCTGATCAAGTCCTACGAGTCGCAGGACCCGGAGATCGCCAGCATGTCGGGCAAGCTCAAGGCCATGTTCCTGCCACCCATGACGCTGCCGCCGCACGGGGCCGGGACTGGCGGAGTTGCCGCTTCCTGAGCATTCCCGCGGAGCATTCCCGCGGAGCATTCCCGCTGCTCCGGCTGGTGCCTTCCTTCCCAAGTGCAGGTCCTGTCAGCCCTGGGAATGGAGCACTCGAACAAGGGAGATGCTGACCTGGAGGGAATGGGATGCTTCGTGCCCTCTCGTGTGTCCGCTCGTGAATAAAACGTGTGTTGAAAATGCCCGTGTTCTATGAATGACCGTGAGCTCAGCGGTGCTCCCCAGGCACGGGTGCTGCTCCCTGGGGCAGGGGCAGGTACAGGTACAGCAGTGCCTGCCTCATGACACATGTGCTGCTGTTCCAGAAGACCCAGTATGCACTACCTTCTGCAAAAAGGTTTGTGCAGAGCCTTATTGTGAAGCCTTATCAAAGAGACTTTTTTTTTTAGTAGGAGGTGCTAGGCCTTAAGAGCGAGAATTTACAAATGTGTTGTTTCAAACATACTAGGTAATGTGTCACTAAGCAGATCAAGTGCTGTTAATGCCACTGAGCCTGATGCCCCCAGCAGAGTCAGTGCTAACTTACTCATGCCTCTAGTGTCTGTGGCTGCCTTTTTTTCTGGCTGAATGTGCAATCCAGCACATTATCCCTAGTGAAAAAGGCAGCAGAGAGACGCAGCAGGGAGCGGCAGAGCGTGGGAGGGCTGGGCTTGCCCCATTTGGCTGCAGCCTGGATTAGAACAACATAAACAACATAAAATCGTACCTCACATTTTTTGGGACTGTAGAGGGATCAATCTCGTGGAATAGCCTCTCTCCAGAGTAACATTCTGTGTTTCCAGTGCGATTCAAATGGAGGGACATCAGGTATATCTGTTTGTAGCCTCCTGCCCCATGTGCCCATTGCCCTTTGAAGAGTTGAGATCTTTGAGGAGGGTGGCAGAGCCGGGGGTGAAGGAGCCAGCCTGGGAAAGCAGGGAGCTGTGAGCCAGGTGTGAGAGAGCTGCTTCTGTGCCTTTCAGTTACAAACCAGGCAGGAATGTAGCCAGGGAGGGCGTGAGCAGTGGATAGGAGGCAGGAAGAGCAGTAGGTCCCTTCCGTCTCCATCTACCTCTCCCAGCTTGGCCTTGGCCTTCCCCCACCCCTCTGATTATTCATTAACTACAGTCCAGGAAGCACTTTGCAAATGGTGACAATTAAGCCCTCTACTTGAGGCCTGAGGTTTGCCTGTCCTGGAGCTACCTTCTTCTCAGTCCGCCTAGGAACAGGCGGAGTTCAGGACTCTGCCTGTGCGGATCAGGTGAGTCACCGGAGGTGCCGCAGCCCGCAAACACTGCCAGCTGCTGCTCCAGAGCCCTGGCACTCACCGCCATGAGCGTATAGCCCTGTTGGGAGGGTGTGAGTCCACCCCTCCACTACCAAGATCTTTGATTTCTCTCCCAAATCCATCTCAAGATACTGTCCTGATAATTCCAATCTTGCTTTATTTTTTTTAGTAGGACCCCCTGGGTTGAGGGCTGTGGTACTTCCTCCACCAGCTCCTGTCAGTCCTCCATCAGTGGGGATCTGAGAGACAACATCCTGATGCCATCCCGTGGGTGAGTGCTATGAATGCTAGTTAGGGCTAGAAAACAAGAATTGTTGATGAGAAAAATAAAAATACTGGCACTAGGAATTAGGCATAGAAGGAAAAAAAACCCCACCTTCTAATAGCCAGAGAACTGGAGCTCCCAGTGTTTTAGATCATTATTGCTGTTACTGTTGCTCCTCAGCTTGATAAGGGGTTTGCAGTTCCTCTGCCACCCCACAGCTAGAGTATCTCTCAGTGTGTTAGGCACAGAGAGAGGTCAGCTGTCTGACCTTTAAAATCCCGGTTATTTCTTGATTTGCTACAGTCTTTCTAGCCCTCTATGGAACAAGAGGACATACAACCTTCTTGGTCAGTTCAAACAGGTGCTCTACTCTGGAGACTGCAGTTGCAGGGTGTCAGGAAATGGGATTCGTTCTAGCATTACTCTGTGGTAAGGATTTGAGCAACCTTGTTGGGTGCAGCACTGTCCTGGGGTCCCATAGCCTGACAGAGAGCATCTGGCTTCAGCCAGGCCCAGGAAGAGGGTCCATCTGTCTGTTCCCTAAGCCCAAATGGCCTTCACTCTGCACTAACTAGACTGAACTAGAATGTAGTTCTGTGCAGAAACAGCAAAACCTTGCTGAAATCATCTCAGGGCTGAGAATTAGAAGTAACAAATGCAATGCTCATTTTCAAAAAGGGTTCCAAATTAGATCCCCCAAGTGCAAGGGAAGCACGGAACAGTAAAATCATCATCTGAGCAAGAGGGTAGACATTATAACAGAGAAAGCAGTGAATGTGATACTAAAGAAAGAGCCAGCACTTGCTTTTGTAAAGGCAAATCCTGTCCTGTTAAACTGGAGATTTTTGAGGGACCTAGCAAGCTTGTAGATAAGGCAGGTCTGGCCAATACAGTTTCCTTGGGTTTAAAGAATTTAACAAGATTTTCTCATCAAAGTCTTTAAATAAAGTTGAAGTCATGGCATAAAAAAAGAAGTTTAAGGTTTTCTTAGATAAAGAATTAATAGAAAATAGGAAATGGAAGATGGAAATTAACATCCCATTTTTACAGCAAAGGGAAGTCATCAGTGGCCAGATCACAGAGGCCTAACCTGAAATATACACAGTTCAGTATATTCCCAAGTGACCTGGGAATACAGCTTGGTGAGGTGAAAAAATTGGGTGATGGTAGAAAGTTATTCAGGATAATGGAGTGGGAGTTGACTGTGAATAATTGCAGAAGGACCTTATGATGGTGAACAAGTGGGCAATAGAACAGCAGATGAAATTCCATATAGGCCTATGTAAAACAATGTTCATGCAGAAAAATAATTCAAAATTTACATATAAAATGACTGTGAACTAGTTGTAACCTCTGTGGAGTGAAACTTTTATTATATATATATATAAAAGACCCTGCAGTTGTTGGCTTACTGCTGGTTGTGGTGAACATCAAAAGTCATCACTGTCCGAGACTCAGCATCATCTTGAACACCACAGTTCTCTGCCACCATCACCCTTATCTCCAAAACAAGGAGCCAGAGTGGGAGACATCTCGGAGAGGGACAGCAAAGGTGATCAGAGGTGTAGAATAGTTCTGTACAAAGATCACCTTAGTAGCACTGGAGTCTTCAGCCTGGCAAAGAGCTGAGGATGCATACGGATCTTATGGGTCTGTTACCATGAGCAGCTTGGAGCAGGGTGGGTGGAACAGGAATCAGTCACTGATCTTTCTTTCTTTGCAACAACCAAATGTTAATAAAAATGAGGGAGGGAGCAGGTTATAAGCAGGTCAAAGGAGGGGGTGTTTCTGTAGCTGAGCAGTAGAACTCCTTGCCAGAGGACGCTAAATTTGTTAATTTGTTATGGATTTGACTGTTGACTCTACAAATAGCTGCAAATAGAGGCTTAGGGGAAAAGAAACTCTATACATAACCTTTCCCTCTATTATTTAACAACTGTTTTGACCTCTGGATCGCATAGTCCAGCCCCCTGATCACAACAGAGCTAGATCAGGTTGCTCAGGGCCTTGCTCAGGTGAGTCCTGAACATCTACCAGGGTGGATGTTCCCCAGCCGTTCTGGACGATTGTGGCAAGTGCTAAACTGCCCTTGGGGGGGAGCACGTGTGCAGTTTTTCCTGATACCTACTCAGAATTTCCCTTGCTGCAAGTTATGTCTATTGCCTCTTGTCCTTTTCTTTTGCTGTGTCCCACAAAGGAGAATCTGACTCATCATCTCTAAGCCCCCCCAGCCCCTTTTAAGTAGTCTCAGACAGCTGCTAAATCCTTCCTTAAGCATCTTTTCTCCAAGCTGAATAAACCCAGCTTCCTCCATCTTTGCTGTGCTCCAGGCTCTTTGTGCCTGTGCGTTTGTGGCCTTATGCTGGATTCTCTCTAGTTTCTCAGTGTCTTTTTTTTTTTTTTTTTACAGCAGTCCAGATGTGGGTGTCTTTTTTACTTAGCTATTTCGTTTATCTTCTCCTGTAAGTTTGTTCCTGCGCTAGCTGTGGCTCGGCTCCGCAAGGGATTTACAAGATGAGGTTCTAACACCTGTGCTGTACTGAAAGCCAAACAACTCTCTTTGCTGAAATCTCTTGACCTGTTAATTATATTAAGAAAGTATTTTAGTGGCTCAATTATAGTCAGCTGTTCTATGCTGCATCCATTTGGGAGAGCAACCTCAAAGATACCAACCTTCTCTACAGTGATATTTCCCTCCCTTAGTGGCAGGAGCTCCTCCCTGGTAGTTTTAAATTAGATGGCCCAGGTCAAAGACACCAAGGCAGCTGTGTGCATCCATTCCTTTCCTGAGCTGCAAGCAACCAGAAGCAGAAACTGAGCCTGTAAATTATGTGATACGGGATTTGCGTCCACACAAATACTGATGGGCTACACTGCACTCTGTGGCTTGTCCTGCCGGGGGATACTGAGTTATGTTTGGTTTAGTGCTAACTCACCCTTTCTGCTCCGATCTGGGCTCTTTGCTACTTTGTTCTTTCCTTGTTTCCGAGTCCAGCTGATTTTCAGTTGCTCAGACAGATTTTCTCCTTCAGTCAGTTCGTAAGGTCTGAGGATGCCTAGGTTTTATTTTTCGTCTGCCTTGGCTTCAAATTGACCCAACATACTCTAATATTCTTTTGATATCAGGAATTGTCTTTTGAGACTTCTGCCCAAAAGTTCCTGCCATTTCTCTCCTACCTCTGCACAATACTTTCCTGTGCCAGTGCTACACTGTCTCTGATTCAGGTGCAGCTTCTAGAACTTCATGTAGAAGTTGTTCCCTTGAGCCACAGGTCTCTGTGCCTTTAAAGTCTCCTTGTTTTTTTTTAATATCGGTTTTAAATCAGTACAGCTGGATCCCTGCAGCTCATGGCTCATCATGTGTGTGAAACTAGAAGCATTTCAAAGGAAGCTGTTGTAGGTGCCTGGGTTGCCTTTCTAGCAATGAAGTTTAGCTTCCCACTCATCTCTCCTGTACTTCCCTTTGTTGTTAGTTTCTGTCTTGGCCACAAGTTTTTGTCTAGGTTGTAGTTAGCAGCCTGTTCAGCTTTTTGCAGGATTTCCCAGTCTGGTGGGTATGCAGGGAAGTCTGCAGCTGCTGGTACTTGAAATGAGCAAGGCTCTTACTGTTCCTGCTGCCCACACAGGGTAGCTGAGATTGCCCCAGGGAA